ACACACACACACACACACACACACACACATACTCTCACACACACACACAACAATGACAATGACAATCTTTTTTCATCTCGCAGGGAGAAAATTGTCTTGTTCGTTAACAGTGGCAGTAGACGTTACAAAGGTTAGGTGCTCTCACGCATATGCACAACAAGACAGGACATTAGTAAAATTAAATGCAGGTCTCACGTGCTGAAACAACCCGCTCCGTAAAACATACTCTCTCTCTCTCTCTCTCTCTCTCTCTCTCTCTCTCTCTTTTTTTTTTTTTTCATTTGTAGCACTGTGTGTACAGTACCTCACTGCTGTTGGTACGAAATTCCTTTTTTGGAAATGTATCTTTTACAGCGGAATGATAATTGAAATTCCGATGTCAGTGAGTGGCTATGGTCACTTAACATTATTTCCGCTTTTTTTAGAACATTTGTTTTGTGTGCAGATATTCAAAGATCTCTACCAATTGTTCTTGGTGCCTTTCTGATCAACTTATTTATTTTTATGATGTGCTGTCTTGCCAAATTGCTACCGTAGCAAGAGATACTAAAATGTATCAAAGTTTCTATTGTGGTGGTGCAGAATATCTGAAAGGTGGATGGATTCAGATTGAAAGACCTAAAGTTTCCTCAGAAAGTACAGCCTCTGATTTACTTTTTTGACAATTTTGTTTACGTGATTTTGCCATATGAATTTGTTGTTAATTGTAAGACCAAGATATTTGTTATGAATCTGTAATTTCAGTTGTTTCTTGTTCAATTACACACACGTGCACTCAATACCTTATTTATTATATCGTAGGCCAACTGTAAAGTGCACTATGCCCAAAAAAGTTGACTCCCCCCCCCCCCTAGTTTCTCAATCTGTGGTTTCGGTTGCTTGTTTTCGAAAAACATTTTTTCACAATTCAAATTCTAAATTTCGAAGAAGAAAAAAAAGCAGTAGAAGATGCATCATGTAGGTACAATGTATTTTTGTGTCTGTTTTGTTTGTATATTTTTTTTCTGGAAAAAAAAAATCATCCCTCAGAAATGTTTCTTCTGGGCATAGAACAGCGAAACAACTGGCAAACGAGGTGTATACTGATTTTATGAACGCACTGTTATATATTTCCCTGTTTGTTATTTCTCTTATCACCATTTCGTGACCACCATTATCATGCTGTGCCGGATCTTTTTACTATGTACTCCTAACACAGTTGTTTTGGACGAGTGGGGGTGGGGGTGGGGGAGACGACCAGAAGGTCACAAGACGAAGAAATATAATATATTTCACTCGTGTGGTTCCCAGGGCTCTGTCCAAGAGACTGGGGAGCAAAGAATAGGACCACTGTATCTGTACCGCGCATGTCGTAGAAGGCAACTAATGTCGGTTTAGCAAAGGTTTAGCAGCCCCTTCCCGAAAAACAAAAATAGCTACAAAAACATCAACAGCAAAAATAACACGACGCCAGTTCTGGAAGATAGATGACCTTCATCTCCGAAGAGAGGAGAAAAAATGGAGAGTAGAATGACAGAGGGTGGTGAAAGCCGAAAGGAAGTCACCAAGCCAAGAAACCTGTCAATCAGAAGAAAGACGAAAGATGACATGGAGGCGAGAGGTACAAGCGGAAATGGAAAAGGTGGGGACATCATGTAAGCAGCTAGAAAAGGATGCACAGGACCGGCTTCGCTGGAGAAATGTTGTTGATGACCTATGCTCCACGGGGCGGTGCCACTGGCTGAAGTGTCTTTAGGCCATTCCCAAAGGGGGGACATATCTCGTTCTAATGCACAGTAGAATTGTAAATGGTCTACCTAAAAGAAAGTAGGGCTCTCTTTCATTTCTCCTGAAGAAGAACAGGAATGGCACTGTTTGTTAGTTTCGCTTGTATTGTTTTCACACAAGTAGGTTTACTCTGTTCGCAAAGTCTACATTGGGGGCTCTCGTGGCCTAGAGGTTAAGGTGTTGGCCTCTCATTCAAAGGTCCCGGTTCGATTCCGGGTAGCAACCGAAAATTTTCTTCGTTAAATTTGTCTCCGTTCACCTCATTTCCTGCTCTCTAGCAATGTTCCGTCGTCTGCTTTCGTCTCCTCTTTCTGCCCCCACCCCCTCACCTACTTTGACCCTTCCTCTGGGCTCCTGATTCTTTCTGCAGCCTTTCTACTGCTAATCCTTCGCTTCTTCTTACTGCTGTCACACCCCTGGTCATCTGGTAGGAAAGATCTACACCTAGCCTTCTCGGGCAAGGGCGAAAAATCTCGGAGGGCCCGTGTGCAAGTTGCGCACATTAAAGATCCCTTGGTGGTCTAAAATCGATAAGAGTAGGCTTCGGCCGCCACCCGGGCAAAATTCAAAATTTCCTACCAACTGAAAATATTAGGTGTGTCCCGCGCGCTCATATGACCTTATGCAGTTGCGAGTGTCGTAAAACACTTTACAAAAACAAAACAAACAAAAGTCTACATTTCTTCGAAGAGGGCACCACCGGACGTTGCGTATCAACGTGGACACGTGACTCAGTCTTGTTGTGATTGGCCGCGAACCACCCGATCGCGCGATTCGCAGGCCTGAAAACAAACGCGTTTGTTTTTGTACGTCACCGACCGAGTCGATCGGTTTGTGCCACGATGGCCTTTTTGCACCCTCAGTTTGGCTAGCCCCGGCTACCAGATCGACCCGACCAGACCCGACCCGACCCGACCCGATCACGTATATGTGGGCACCCCGTATTACGTTCTGTCAATTTTCACCCCTCGGTCGGGTGAATACTTTTCAGAGGATAAAAACTGCTCACCTACTGACACGTTCAAGAAAATACTCAATTTGCTCTTTTTTCCTCACCGCCATATTATTTTGACCTCTTTTTATGCTGTGAGCATTTTTCAGCTTCGTGACATGAGCTCACAATATCACTGGATACAAAAAATCGGTCATGGCCTACATTCTGGAGAATGTGGGTTATTAAAAACCAGCGTCTTTTAGTAGCTCTTTGACTTGTGTAACTTTTGTCGTTGAGTATAATTATATAATATACATATTATATATGTGTTATATGTTGTGAGGCCTCGTTGTCAAATCAGGCGCACGCCAAATAATGAAATCAAAGAAATTGCATTTTTATGGCAGGTGGGCAATTATTTTCTTTAAATTTTCATATTTTAGTGTACATTAAAAAACACATAATATGTGTGGTTGTTGTTGAAAAACGTTATTCAAAGGCACAAAATATGTAAATTAGTAGTTTCCAAGGACTCTCAAGCTTTGTAAGTCACCAAATTTTGCCATCCATCCAACCAACCAACCAACCAACCAACCAACCAACCAACCAACCAACCAACCAATCAATCAATTAATCAATCAATCAATCAATCAATCAATCTATCTATCAATCCATCAATCCATCAATCTCCTCCAGGTCAGGGAATGTTGGGGTCACTCACTGACCGCCGGCCGGCAACATGTCGTCTGCAAGTGGACGCCCAGATGGTGGCGTGGCTAGAGGGCTCGCCCTGGCTCACCTACTGTGGCTGAGTCTGCTGCTCCCTCTACTCCTACTCCTGCTGCTGTCAACCTCAGCACCCACTACTGCTGCTGCTGCTTCGTACACGGCCGAGGAGGATCTGTGCCCTGTCGGCGTCACTGGTCAGTTCTCTCCGAGTGGATGTTTGGGTTATTGTTTGTTTGTTTGTTTGTTTGTTGTTGTTGTTGTTGTGCTGCTTCCTACACGGGCGGGGACGATCTGTGCCCTGAGGGCGTCACGGGTCAGTTCTCTCAGCTGGTGGTTGGCGGGTGCTCTGGTGTGGTCTGCTCCTTCTTTCTTGTCTAACATCTGTCGTCCTTTATCACCCCTCTTCCGTTTTTGTGTTTGTTACTTTCTTGTAAAACCTCTTATCTTCGGCACTTATATGACCTTATTGTGTTGCAAGTTCTGTAAAACTCTTACTAAAACTACAACAACAAAAAGTTCTCTCAATATGAATTTTTTTATTTGTTTGTTTGATTTTTTATATTTATTTTAAAGGTGTGGGTGTTGATGTTGTTGTTGTTGTTGGTGGTGGTGATGATGGTGTTGTTATTGTTGATGTTGTTGATGATGATGATGTTGTTAGTGTTGCTGCTGCTGCTTCTGCTGCTGCTGCTGTGTGTGTGTGTATGTGTGTGTGTGTATGTGTGAGTGTGTGTGTGTATGTGTGTGTGTGTGTGTGTGTGTATGTGTGAGTGTATGTGTGTGTGTGTGTGTGGTAGCCTGTCCGTTCGTCATGTTTGGAGCCCCGAAGAGCGTGCTCTTCGCCAGGGCCACCGCCTCTCTTGGGTAGCAGGTGAGGCTGTCCAACCTCCCTGAATCCTCCCCAAAGAGATGCCACAGCCGGATCTCCGTAGCGGGGCATCTCTGCAGCCAGTGCTCCAAATCGAGGGTCTCCTCGCTGCACAGTGGACAGATTGGGTCCGATGTTTTGTCTATTCTATTTTATAGGCCTTCAGCCCAGAGAAATGACCTGTCCTGATTTTTGCCAGTAGTGACTGGTCGCTGCGGGATTTAATTTGAGCCTCCCGTTTTAAGAACATTGCCGTGTTTATTTCCTTCGTCCGCGTATGGGGTATCGGAGGGTCTTTGGAGATCAGTTTTATCTGGGCGCACGCACTTTCATATGCAATTTGGCGGCCTCGGCCCGGCAGCACTGTTGCCTGTTTGGCATTACTATCTGCGAGATCATTGCCGAGGATCTCACAGTGACCAGGGATCCACTGAATCGAAGGTTGAGGTTTTGTATTATTTATGCGTAGTCGCATTTGGTCGAGCGATGGTGATGTTCCCACTAGTGCCAAGCATAGCGATTGAATGTTGATGAAGATAGAGACCGAGTTGGATGCATCACACTGTCGATCCAGTCAATGGCCATTTCCAAGGCTCTCCTCTCTTCCTCGAAAGAGCCCTCGAAAGAGCACGTGTATAGAGCGCCTCTCTCCTTCAGTGTCTCGACAATGGTCGGGTTGGATGGGTCCCCCGTTGTGATGACGACCCCAGTGCCGCCGTCAGTTGTTCCTGCACTCGCCGAGCGGTCAGTGTAGATATTGTACTGTGCGCCAAGCTCTCGTACTCGACGAAAAGCAGCGCTTTGGACCTTCACACTGGAGTCACTCCTTTCACAAGCAGTACAGGTCCGGGGGAAAGTGATGTCGGGGTTGATTCCCCGTTCTCACGGCCTTGTTTGGAAATAAGTAATGGGCCTCCCCTTGCAGTTGAACAGATGTGGGTTCTTTTTGCTGGCGTCTTTGGTCATTTTTCGGAAATCTCTTCGTCCCTTTAGGCGTCTGTACACTTGTTCCGTTGCCGCAATTCGTCGGGGGTGGTTGTTGTTCCTTTGAAGAGCCTTATCTCTTGATCGAAGGCGGTTACCATTGATGACAGACTCAATGCTTGGGACCCCTGTTTCAGCTCGAAGTTCCTCGATCGGTAAAGACTGGGCTTCGGTGGTGATCAGTCGCAGACATCTGTTTTGAACCACCTCCAGATTATTTATCAGAGTTCTGCTCAGCCACGGTTGCCAGCTACTGCTTGCAAAGTTGAGGAAACTTTGTATATGGTTGAGGTAGACCTTGCGTAGGTCGTCCTTCCTCCATTCCTATTTTGAGTGGGTGACAGTGCCGACCATCCTCATCTTCTGTATGGCCATAGCTGTTACTGTCTCAATTTGTTTGCTGAACGTGAACCTGCGGTCTAGTATGACTCTCAGGAGTCTTGCGCAGGGCTCACACTTAATTATCGAATTATTGATCGTGATGCATGGCTTCCATTCCGAGTCAGATGTTGCGCGAGTGAAGCATATAATCTCGCTCTTCGAGCCGTTCAGCGTGAGTTTCCATCGCCTGCTCCAGTCAGCAACGGTGTCCACTGCTCTTTGTGCCAGACTTTAGGCGTCTCGTGCCGTGCGTGATGAAGCGAGGATAGAGACATCGTCAGCGTAGAGTGAAATTCTTAGATCATTCGGAAGTAGTTTCGCCAGTTCATCGACATAAACGAGGAAGGGGATGGGTGCCAGGACGGAACCCTGTGGGAGGCCTTTGCCCCTTTTTTCCTGTTCTTTCTCAGTATTCCATTGAATCGGATTCTGGTTTGCGATTTTGAAGGAAGCCATTAGCCCTATGACTTATTTATCTGGGATACTTCTAGGAGGGTGTGGAGAAGGCGTTCGCGCCAGACCGTGCCGTATGCCTTTGAAAAATTGAGGAGGGCGAGCACCGATTTGTTCTTCTTTTAGAAGCCATCGGAAATCTCCTGCGTAATTCTCAGGATCTGGTCTTCCACACTTCTTCCCTTCCTGAAACCAGCCTGCAGTTTGAGAGCCAGATGTTCTGCTCGGCTATGTCGTAAAGTCGTCCAGATACCATTCTCTCCATAACTTTGATGACACAGGATGTGAGGCTTATGGGTCTAAACGACGTTAGTTCTGATGCTGGTTTGGCGATCTTGAGGAGGGGGACAATGATGGCGTCTTTCCAGACTTGTGGGACATCAGCTGAGCGAAATGACATGTTGAAGGTGGAGAGCAGTTTCTCAAGTGCTTTGGGACCCAGGTTTTTTTTAGGAAGGACGGAGAGATGTTGTCTGTTCCGGGTGATCCATGGGACTTCATCTTTGCAATGGCATTCCTCAGTTCCGCGATAGTAAAATTGGGTTGGTCTGTCCTTGGGTTGTTCCGTAAGTATTTCAATCGCTGTTTGAGTTGCCGGTCTTCGGCTCTGTCTGCTTTCGACATGTTTAGACTGCAGACGTTCGCGTAGTGGTTTGCGAATGTCCACCTTATGCTTACTTGATGTCACCAGTCGCCCATTGTGCGCCTTTGCTTCATTTGGAGAGTTTGTCTCAGGGGTACTGTTGAGGCTTTTTATGACTTTCCACATCTTGGCGTCGTCCTGCGAGTTGGTGGTTATCTCGAGCAGTTTTCACCAGGCTGCTGTTGTTCTTTTTGTTGTTATTTAAATTGTTGTTGTTATGGTTGTTGTTGTTGTTGTTGTTGATGATGATGATGATGTTGTTGTTGTTATTAATGTTGTTGATGGTGGTGTTGTCGATATTGATGTTGTTTGTGGTGCTGTTATTGTTATTGTTGCTGTCGTTGTTTTGTGTGTTTGTTTGTCTGTTTATGTGTGTGAGTGTATCAATATTTACAGGAGACAGAATCTGCCATGGGAGGGGGGAGGAGGCGTAATTGGAACTTGCGTTTGAAACCTATGAACGTGTGTCTTCTTTTTGTGCCTAGTCATCACATACTGTTTTTCTCTCTGCCTGCATTTTAAATGAAGGGCTTAGATGTGAAACCCACTACGTCTATTTTAGCACTTTTGAGAAAAATTAGCTTTTTGTAAATTAAATGCTACTATACGCACGAACATACAGATGCAAGCAAATACTTCAGTATTAAACAGCCTGTCAGAGTCGGTTGGATTGAGGATCCACCAAGGAAAGTCAAAGATCCTAAGGACAGATGCACAACTAAAGGAGCAGGTCACAATAGAAGGAAATGCACTAGAAAATTTTGAATACTTCTGCTATCTTGGGAGTATACTTGACAGAGAGAAGGGAACAGGTGTTGAAATAAAGCCTTCTTCCCGCCTCATCTCTAACTGGAATCTGTCTTGTTTTCCTTCATACTTCCTCGTTGGTAACCCTGTCTGTACATTTAATCCTATGTAACTTTCTTAGACACTTGTTCAAGAAAACGTGGACTCTCTTTATGCAAGTCTGTGATTCGTTCCGTGTCTCACACCCAAAACAACAGGATTGACTTCACCTAATACTTTGTCCTCCTCCTCCTCCTCCTCCTCCTCTTCCTCCTCCTCCTCCTCCTCCT